GCAGAAGAAGGTTCTATAGTATGGGTGAGATTACAAGCCAGAGCATACGCTTTTTTGTGATTATTTTAATATGCTTTGGCCAAGGAGTCAAAGGCAGGAGAAGTAGCCTTGGCTATAAAAATGCAGTTAAAACCATCCATGTAATGAAGTGCTTATCACGCTTTCTTTTGTGAAGTTTTGATTATTGTTATTGTGGCTTTTGTTGTTGCAGATTGATGGAGATGTAATTGATTGTGTTGTTATTTATAAGCAACCGGCCTTTGATCATCTTCTCCTCAAGAATCATACTATTCAGGTTTGTTTGTCTATTTTTTCATATTAGTTTTCAATCTTATTTTTTTGAAAAAAAAAACACCAGTTATAGCTTTCTCAAGATAACGTTTGGCCCTTTCTGATGAATCAGTGTGCGTCATAGTTCTCTAAACGAGAGTGTGCAAGTGTAACGTTCTCCATATTACTCTTCTCCCCACATAGTTCTTCGAACACTATAGAATATGATATTGCCATATTTAATCATGAGTTGCACTCCATTTTTCAACAAGGAATTGAAATCCACTAATTTTTTTTTTACAATAATATATATATTTAACTTTTTCAAAGATAACAATTGGAAATGATATTCTTTTGAAATAACTCATACTATGTTTTCAGTGCAAAAATAAAGCAAGTTTTTCATGATGCTATTGTTTCAAAAAAAATTACTAAAAGGGTGTAGTTTGTAGAAGGTTGACGTGGTAAATAATCTAAGTAAGGAACATCTTCCAATAGTATCGAAAGATGTTGTTTCAGTACTAAAATTTTTTGTGATGGCATGAAAATTTGTTTCTAGTTTTAATTATAAAATTTAAAGCTTAAAGAAGTGCAGAAATCTAGCAGATCTATGAATACTTTGAAAATTTTTAAAATTGATAGAGTAGATAATGCATTACAAGATGCACTATTTATAAGATTTTAAATCCAATTTTTATTTTTATGTCCAAACATCTTGAGCTCAAGATAATCGATTTCAAGATTTTTGGGCACCAAAACAATTTTTTCTAGTGAATTTTTGAAGTGCACCTTTAAATGATTGTATAGGGCCTCACCCTTACATAAACTTTTTTTGTACAAATGACAAGTGTCGTACACAATCATTCTTACGCACGGATCACACGAAAATCATTTCTTGTATAATTTGATTTTAGTTCTCCATTATGATAAAAATAGATCAGACCTAGTTGGTATCCGAATGAGACATCAGCTGAGCCTAAGATTTCAAGTGAGGAAATGGCCGTGAGCTCCCAAGTATGGAATAAATTCGAAAAGTGCCCAGAAGGAACAATTCCAATATGCAGGACTCAAAGAAATGACAACGTCATCCCTGAATTTATTAGGGATTTTGGCGACAAAGGCACAAAAGGAATTCCTTTTCCTAAAAAAGAGAAGTATGGATATCAAATGCTGAGGTAAAATAAATAAATATATTCGTTGTTCATTTGTTTGTTTGTTTATTTATTTATTTTTGTTTCTGTTCATAGAATGCATAGTAGGAAAATATTTAGTGGCCCTTGATTAAAAGTAATGAAAAATAAAAGTCATTCTATTCCAACCAAGAATGTCGTTTAGTTGAAAGAAGGGGCAAAATTTTCAATGGAATTCATATGTTATTCATAAGGAAAATTTTTTCATGTGGCGGGGACTACAATTTTACAATTTACAGTCCCCAAGGTATAAAGTATCCATCTTAAAGATGGAAGCAAATATGTGGTCCATCTAAAATTAATAGAAACTAATGGTCATAATTGTTTTCTCAAAATTTATTTATTTATTCACATTCATGATCTGTTAGAGATGATATGTCCTTAAAATTTAGGTCTAAAAATCCTTCTTAAAAATAGATTTTAAGAAGTAACTCATTTCTACAAGGACTCATAGTAACTGTGTCCTATTGATTATTAGGTTTCATGGTTTACTATAAGTCTAGAGCTATATTTTACAAGATATAGTACACGCAACCAACATTTTATGTCATTAGTACTCATAGAGACTGTGTCCTATAGATTATTAGGTTTCATGGTTTACTATAAGTCTAGAGCTATATTTGACAAGATATAGTACATGCAACCAACATTTTATGTCATTAGTACTTTTGTTGAAACGTTTTTCAAAAATGTAAGGAAAATAACCCTCACAGAAGATCTCAAGGTTATTTTGTTTTTAGCTATGTCTTTGTACATTTTTCAATATTTTATAATTAGTTATTCCACCATGCCGTTAGATTTTAAACGAGCTCATAATTACTTTGACCTCCTACTTTTCGTCGAGTTCTCATGAACCCCTAGCTTGTAGAACCAGGGATTCCAAATAATGGGATCTCACCCAAGATCTTGTACATGACTGGCTAAATGTGAAGTAGATGAATACAACTATAAATCGAATGCAAAAAATAAAGCAAACATAAAAATCACACCATCACAACACACAATTTACATAGTTAACCCTGTAGGGCTACATCCATAGCCTCGTCAATTAGAAATCCACTATCACAATGAATATTACAATTTTGGGTTGCAAGAGTTAATACCTCTCTTTAAATATCGATAAAAAAACCATTACTGATCTTCTTTTTAAACCCACTCTCTCAACCAAGCAACACCGTCGATCTCCATTTTCTTTTCCACCACAAACCGCTACTAAAAACTAACCTTGAGAGCAACTGAGAGATTTTCTCTCTTTAAAAGTGGAAGCCTTACAAACCCAAAACCCATGGGAATACAGCCTCTCCCTCGGAGGCCATGTCTCTCTCTCTCTTGGAGACCTATCTTCATCTTGGAGATCCTTTCCTAAAGGGGTGACCCTCAAAAGGATGGGTAATATGCCTTTATTGAGTATCTTATATAGATATCACTTTCTTGCTTCCCAAGAAAGTCTATTTTTTTTTTACCATACTACCCTTAATATTTATAAGAAAATATGGGTATGGTGACTTGGCTATCACCAAACCCAACACTTTTTAATATTTTTAAAATGGTTTAATTGCCTCAAAACATTATTAAGAAGATAAGAACAACATAATTAAACATCATCATTATCCTCATTCGAGCCTTATCCCACCAATTTGAGGTTGGCTATGTGAGTCTTGTTCTATCATTCTGCTTTAATAAGGGCCATACCATCAGTAAGACCATATGTCAACATATCTACTTCCATATATATCCTTTTGGGCATTCTCCTTGCTTTTTTAGAGTCTTCCACCTAAACCAAATAACACCTCTTAACTGCTGCAGTATTAGGTCAACATTGCACATTGCCAGGCTACCAAAGTCTTTTTTGCTTCGTCTTATCACCTATTGAAGCCACACCTAAACTCTTTCGAGTGTATTCATTTCCAATTCTATCCTTTTTTGTTTTGTTTTTTGTTTTGCTACTTATCCACCTCAACATCCTTATCTAAGCTAATGTCATCCTACAGATATGTTGTTTCTTGACCAACCAACATTCTATCCCATAAAAGTATTGGTGGTTTTATACCTGTCCTATAGAACTTACCCTTCAGTTTCATTGGTATATGTTACAGTCACATAAAACTCTAGATCCACACCTCCACTTCGCCTACTCAGCTCTAGTTCTATACACGACATCTTCCTCATCTCCATTTTCTTAGATTATTGACCCAAGATATAAAAATAACCTCTTTTAGGTATTTATTGACCGTTAATCTTATCTACTTCTTCTTTTCTTCCCATAGAATTAAAAACTTGCATTTCATATATGATGTTTTAATTTGACTAATTTTAAAACCTTTAGCTCGTCAAATAACGAAGGCAGTGTAACAAATCTAGTTAGAGTAGGATGGATGGTATGTTGCACTTTTCCTTTTTCTTTTTCTTTTGTCATCAATTACTCAGCTTAATAAATATATCATAGCTCATGAACCTGAATATGGCTTTTAGATCGAGTTCACTTTCGCCATGCTTAAGCCTCATAGGTCCATAGCTTGATGCTGAATGTAGACCTAGAGTAGTAAGGTTTTAGATACATGATAATCTCTTGCCGCTGTTCGCTTACTGGGTACTGAGGCTGCCAAAAGCTGTGGATTTTAGTGTTGTAGCACTTACTATGTTTGTTAAACAGAATGAGCTTCTAGCTATTGAGAATTGAAAGCCGTAGCATCTATGCTATCCCATGAAAGTTATATCTTTTGAAAGTGATGGGAGAGGTTGATTAAGAAACTCTCTTCTACCTATCAAACATGCCCTAATTATATTTGTTTCACCATTTTCCATCAAAGTAATTTTTCAGCCAAGAATGAGTAGGCCATCATTTATGCAGTTTCCTGCAAACCATAGTATAAAATTGAGAAAGGGGAGGGAGGGAGAAAAGCAGTGGACAGTCGGATTCTAATGACCCAAAATGGAAGTTTTACAGCATTATAAAGGCTCACATGAAAGCGACATGCTTGGCTCATTTGGAAGGCCCCTGCACTGCGAGGAAAACCATAGAAAATGTTGAAATAAAAGTTCCTCATTTCTGTGCCCGTATATAATTAAGCCAAATCAAGAATCCAATTCGAGTACTGCAGAGCAATGTGGAGTTTAACCTTCCCAACACTGAAGGCAACCACAATAATAATTAATTGAGTAAGAAACAAGAACCCATTGTTAAAACAAATTTGTTTTACTCTACAAATGGATGGGACACTCACGATAATGCTTCGGGTTTCGAAAGAGGTTTTACTCAAAGAACTTTATATGTTCTTAATAGATATGAAAGGCTTGTCTGTTACTCGCAAACAAAGTTTGTGTATTTAAGAGATATTCATCTTCATATATAAGATCTTGGTATGAGTTTGACAGTTTATACATCTATAGGTGAAACCATCTCTCTTTGGGGACAACCAGACCCTCCTCTTTGTAGCTTGGGATGTAAGCTTCATATTACTCGATCATCTGACTGTTGTTACTTGTTATTGATGTATATGAGGTTAATCGGCTGATTATTTACGTGTATCAGAAAGTAGCAGGTTCTCAGACCACTGGGTGCTACAACCTTCTCTGTCCAGGTTTTATTCAAACGAACTCAAAAGTAGTCTTGGGGGGCGTTCTCACACCTGTTTCAGTTATAAGTGGAAAGGTGTATTACATTCACTACAACATTTCCAAGGTAATATACAACAAAAATAAAATAAAATCCGAAAGGCCCATCGCATTGTAAAAGTATTTTCTTTATTCCATCTGCACATTTAACACCTAGTTCACAAACTAAAAGGTTCGACAGTGAAACATATTTCTGGTTTTGTTTCTGATAATTTTGTAGTGGTTATGGAGAAAAGGGAAGAACTCAATTATGAAATTGACAGATGGCTTTCTATACAAAGCCAAGTATTCTATAATATCCACCATCCAACCTCTTTTTGGCACGATAATGAATCGTAGTTCTGTCAAATATTTGAGAATTACACTGCATCTCCAATGCCCATCAATAACAATCAGTAGTGGATGTCCCATGGTGTCTGCCATAGCATTTAAAGCCTATGTATTAGGATCCAGGACTCGCCTCGGCTATGGTAGTTGGCCCTTGGCCAAGGTGAAAGGCCTATATAAATTAAAAAAATATAGGAAAAAGTTCGAAAAAATGTATAAAGGTAGCAAAAGTAAAATAAACAATTAACAACTTTAAGAGGGTAAAATAATCTTTAACAAATAGAGAAAAAAGTTTTTTTAGAAAGGGGGGTTGTTCGTATAAGGCTGAGGCCCTAAAGAATCGAAGTAAGGTGCACATTTAAATTGTCTCATACTATATTTTTTCTGTATAAAGAATCTTTGTGATAGCCCAAAAATTTGTTTTCATCTCTTATTATAAAATTTAAAAATTAAAAATTAGTGTAGATTGAGCAGATCTATGAATACTTGAAATATCTTGAAAATTGACAGTCTAGATAATGTACTACAAGATGCACAATTTCCAAGCCTTGAAATTTATTTTTTCTCATGTCATACATCATGAGATCGAGATGATCAACTTAGGATCTTTTAGCATTAAAATAACATCTTTTAGTGAATTTTTTGACATGCACCTTAATTTGAATGTTTAGGGCCTCACCCAAATATGAACTTGTTTTTTTGTTTAGAAACGGGTGTGGTTTGCATATGGTTGCAACCCAAAACAGAAAGTAATGTGCGCCACCAATTTTATCGTAAGATATAACTTTAGTAGAACAAATTTTTAGGATGGCCTTAGAATCCAATTTCATTTTTAATTATAAATTTGGACCAAAGAGTAGTTCAAAGCAAGTAGTTCTATAAACACATAAAACTCTTGAAAATGGACGGTCTAGATAATGTACTGCAAGATGCATTATTTTTTGGACTCGAAATCTTTTTTTTTTTCTTCTTCATATTCATGCATTTCGATATTGAGATGATCAATTAGACGGTTTTCCAACTCCATAGTAGTCCGGATTTTTTATGTGCATTTTACGTCTATGTTTTAAGGTTGGAACCACTTACTTTTTCATTTAAGAAAAATTCATTTACAGTTTGGGACATGATAGTGATTGATAGTGAAAGCTATGATTAATGTATTGGGAAAATAAGTGAAAATGCTTCAGAGAGATTGTAATTGGGAGAGAGAGATGGGAATAAGAGAAAGTGAGAAAGATAGAATGTAAGGCTTTTAATAGCCAAGTGGGAGATGTTGGGTTTATGTGGCCTTTAAAGGCCTTATGAGTGTTTGTCAAATGAAATAATATAGTGGAACATGACTCAATAGGAGTGTGGTCCCTTGTGGACCATACTAAGCAAATGATGGTTTGCTGATACTGATCTGTGCTTAACGATCTAGGCCAGTCGACTGGGAAAAACCCATATTACCTGGACATGAAGAACAAACCAATGAGGATTTATGGGTTAGCCTTGATGAGATCGGCAAACATGTCCGGATGAGTGAGCCGAGGGACTGTGCGACCCATGTGTGTGATGGTGGCCTATAGAGACAGGGGCCAAAACCTCATCCATGTACCATCACACGACATGCATATCGATAGATCATTCGGGAAAGCCAAAAATCCACCTTTTAGGGTGAAGCGTATGCATGTGCGAGAGATACCCCTATGATCCATAGATCTGTGGTCGCATAAGGTATTGGTGACCTTGACTTATCTCTAGGGAGAACCTGTAATCCACAGACTGGGATTGCAACTCCTTGGCTCATCCGTAAGACTTTGGTGATCCGCTAATGAGCCGCTGCTTAGATTGTGGGTCATGGGAAATGCTGGGTCGGTTCGATAAGGTAAGTGTGGTATGTAGTCCACAGTTGAAGGTGGAGTGCCCCATGATTGCAGATTAAATTCTTTAACCATATGGATCAATTTCCCATCAAGTTAATTTAATTATGTTTCTTTTATGATAAAAATTATTTTAGAATTATTATTTGAATTTTTACGAGTCATTTGATATTTCATCAAAACTCTTTGGGTCCAAGTTTGGGCTTATACCCAACCTAGCCCAGATCCGAACCAGTTTCACAACCAGGTTCGAACCTAGGCCCCCTTTTGGTCCAAGCCTAAGGCTTGTGCCTATCTCAACCTTGATCCAGTTCGGGTCTACACCCGGTCTGATCTTCAAAACCCTCTAGGTCCAAGCCTAGGCTTGCCCCCAGCTCAGTCCAGGTTCGAACCAGGCTCACAGCTAAGTCCGAACCTAGACCCACTCTTGGTCTGAGCTGAGATTTGTACCTATCTAGTCTAGATCTTAGTTTAGGTTCTAGTATAGGTCTAAGCATAGATTTTCCTTTAGAGTTAGACTAGGCTTACCCTAGTTCAGGGTCTAAATCAAAATCCATTGACTCAAGATTCCAGTCTAGTCTTAGCCTAGGTCTCAATTAACGTTTTGGCCCTAGAGTCAAACTAGGTCTACCCTGAGGCGTCGAGCCTAGATCTCACCGAATGTAGGAATCATGACCCATGATCATAGCAGAGAAAGGTCCAACCCTGTGGCCCCAGCTCAATCTAGATCTAAAGAACCTAGTCATTTCGAGAGGCACCGTTATAGTGCTCTCTCACAAATCATCCATAGAACTCGTGTCAGTAAGCCGACTCTCGACCCCCATGGAACTAAACCTAGCCGTCTAAGCCGCCTTTAGGGCCATCTTTTGGAAGTTACGAGCCAACAGGTTAATAAAGTTCGTAACACCTTGAATAATCAAGGGGCCAGGTTGGGGGCAATCCTCTAAGACATAGGGGTTAACCTCAAATCCAGTCTGCACGACAAGCATAAGGCTCCGATTCAAATCTCTGAGTCAGTCGATCTCAGCCGTATGAACCCTGATGGTCAATTAGCAGCTCAACATTCCAGTCTTGATAATCAGTCAGTTAGTGGGCAATTGGGTTTACATACAACTTGGGAAAGTCTACCCAAGCAACCCATCACTAGTAAAGATAAGGGTTTTGACCGAATTTGATATAAAGACAATCCTAAGGTGCATGCTTACTTTCAAAATCTGCTGAATAGAGGGTACACCATTCAGCGTAGTCAATTCTGGAAAGTCAAGTTGGAAGCTCAAGCCATGGGCCAAGTCCAATATTTTGGCTCAAACCAAAATAATCCTAGGGCTGTTAGGCGAGGGATCTAGTTTTAATCATCACTCAAGCCCGAGACTACCAAGAGGGCCGACTACCTTTTATAATAGTTATCGCATTCCTTCACTCTTTTAGTCCTGTGCTGGGGCAAGAAAATACTTTAACCCTAGGGATAGATCATCGAATCAAGGTCAGGTAGACCTAGCCACCCAAGGTCAGAGGTCTAGTCGTCATAGCAACTTGAATCATCCATCCCAGTTAAGTGGTGATCCTTTCCTGCAGGCCTCCTTGCAGGACCATGTTGTGCAACCTCTGAGTAATGGGTATACTCCGACCCAATTCAACTCGGGTGAGTCTACAAGCCAACAACAGACACATCAAGTTCAACACATTCTTCAGGCTCAGTCTTTGGGGTAACCCACTACATGAGCCCCACAACTAGTTTATACGAGCTACATACCACAAAGTCAGGTTCAACAGACCATACAACTGAGCCAGCTCGTAGCTATAATGACGGCTCAAGCAGCTCGTATGAAACACCTCCAAGACTCTTTAGAGAAAATGAGAATATGAGATTTCTCAACTCCTAAAGCTTACGTATAAGAAATTCTAGGAAACCTAGAAGATCTACCAGTGGGGTTTGTCATGCCACAGTTCTGAAATAGATTTTCAGGGAAAGAGGATCCTGAGGCACACATCAACACTTACTTATTGATAGTCCACACACTATGAGACCGACCCAACTAACTTAAGGTCATGTTCTCGCATAGTTTATCACAAGAACTCTTGATGTGGCACCCAAGATTCATGAAGGATAACCCTCAAGCAACTCTTGACAAAATGTTTAGCCAATTTTTCTCCCGCTATAGTTGATGAAGGCCAAGACCCATCACGCTTGGTTAGTTAACTTCCACCAAACAGAAGTTGGGTGAGTCTCCTTCCCTGTTTATAACTAGATTCAGAGAGGCCGCTATTCGAGTTATTGAAACTCCACTCCCTGAAGCTGCGAAGGTAAGCATGGCATTAGAGAACATGCTCCTAGTATAGTCATGTTCTTTAGTATGGGGGCAGTCCCTTACTCATTTGATGTTATGCTTGAAAGAATATCGTGATATGAACAAGCCAAGGAAGATGAAGCTGCAGCCAAAAAACCCTCTAAAGAAGGAGAAGTGAACTTGATAAAAAAAAAGCAACCTTTCAGCAAAGGTGGCTCCTTTCCATGGAGGCGATACATCTCGATTGTGCGAATGACATCAAAACTATGCCTATAGTACTGAGGAATGTCGAGCCTTCAGGCATAGAGTTCAAGATCTCATTGATAACAGCATGATAAGTGTCAAAAAGAAAGATGTTGACGGCATAGATGAATCGGAAACTCTAGATGTCCTAACAAAGAATACTGATGTCAATCTGATTAACTCAGGAGAATCACAAGCTGTGCCCAAACCTGAAGAACATCCACAAAGGCCTTGGAGCACAACAAGAAATCAACTGGAAAGTCCAGTAGATTAAGAACAAAATGAGCATAACCTCACCCACGAGTTAATACTCAAGATCAAAGCAGTGAAGATAACCTTAGCTCTAGGCTCATAGCCGAAGAAAGGGGAGAAGAAAGGGGTATCGCATATGGAATTCTGCTCCAAGATACACTCCCAAAAGTGGCATAAGAAATCCCTATCATCAAGAGTCACACTAGGGCATATCAACCCTTCAACCTGTACGTCCAAGTTAACACAATAAATGGTTCATACGTGTGTGGCAACGAATCAAACTCATAAGAGCAATATGAACTCGAGCATAAACTCAACAAAGGTTTTGAAGCTATGGATTCTCAAGCCCATGACGGCAAGAAAAACCTTAATTCTAGGACAATAACTTGTGATGCGGCAAATGAGAGAGTGCTAAAAGGAAGCCTTTCACCTCAAAACCTTGACGACCCACCTAAGTGGGATCAATATAATGAGGACGACATGTTAGGAATTGATGTGATTTAGATCAACAAGAATGGATCATCTTCCAAATAAGGGGTCAACACCTAAAGTCTCCCATTGCGCTTCCAAACAAGGAGTCAACACGTCAAATATCAAAAGAAGTCGAACCTTTGGCAATTCTAAGGGGCCCACTGAGGCCACCTTAACTAGACTTCTTGGCTAACCCACTTATATGGAATGCCAAGCTTAGAAGATTTAACTGAGTCACCTCACGAGGTGAACCTAGTTATAGATTATGGAGAAGTAAAGAGCCCAAATTTGACTATTCCCAAAGATTTGACAGTTTCACTAGAGTTGATAGAGCTCGAATCTTTGGAAATTCTAAGGGGCCCACCTAGGCCACCTTCATAAGATTTCTTGAATGATCCGCCAATCTGGGATCAAGAATTGGATATTAAAAATCTGACCATGTTACCTCTCAAGAGGCAAGCTCTTTAAAAGTCATTAACAACATGAGCACAACTTCAATAACCGAAGCACTTCCATATCAAGAGGATGCATTCTGTGAAGAACAAGTTGCCAACGAACAGAAAGCCCTGCAGGGGCAAACCCATCAAAATACTCAATAGGGGCAAACTCCTCTCATGAAGAGGATACAATAAGGGCAACTAATGAGATTGAACCCTCTTCGTTGACTCCCAACATGCCGTAAGGTCATCTAAAACCAACTCAACCACTCCTCTTGGGCGAGAGTCTCACTCCAGCTCGAGCACTAAGAAGGAGCCTACTACGGAGTTAACCTCCGAAAAACAAATCAAAATTTGTAATGAAAAAGATAACCGAAAAGGAGTTGGGTGATCACTCACCCATTGCAAATAACCAAATGAGGCATTCATGTCTCACACTTCAAGAAGCATTAACGCTTAATGTGTAACATAAAGTACTCCATTAACGGGAAAACCTTGATGAGCCTATCCGTCCATATAGAAGACTGAGAGTTTAGGAAACTGAGAGTGATTTCTAATCCCAAAATCAAGGTTCAAGTGGAGCAGTTTAAAATCAATGGAGATTCAGCAAGCATTGTCAAAGAGATTTTGGATGCCAGCTTGGGTCAAGGGAAATTAGAGGAAGACTGATATTAGAACCTCCCTGCCACTTGGAGGAGGGAAAGAGGATCGAATTCTTACATGATCTTAAGGCGGATTGCTAAAAAAAAAGGGGCACCTTTGACTCTTCTTCCTCCTCCCCCTCTTTCTTTGTCATTGTTTTTTTTTTTCTTCTTCTTCTTCTTCAAAAAAAAATCCGCTGGGCTAAAAATCTGAAAGGAACCCTAAGCGTTGGAAAAAAGGCTACCGGGCTGAACACTCGAAAGGGACCTCGAAGCAATAATTAAAAAAAAAAAATCTGCTGGGTTGAAAACTCGAAAGGAACTCCAAGCGTTGGAAAAAAGGCTACTGGGCTGAACACTCGAAAGGAACCCCGGGGCGATGAAAAAGAAGAAGTTCTCTCCTTCCTTCTATTCTCCAAAGTCCTTTCTCTCTAAACATCTTCACTTCCTTCTTCCTGAGTCAAAATGATGTCAAGAGAAAAATCAATGAGCATTAGCTTGATGGAACATTGTTAAGGTCCTCGATCATCTAGAGCTTCGAACGGTGAATGATAGAGGAATGAAATAAAAAATCCAAAGAGATTTTGAACACCCAGGGGCAGTATTCTATATTTTCAAAACTATGTTTTGCTCGAAATCTCCAAAGACCTCTCCTCTGAATTGAAATGCAAGAGCTGATGTTGGAAGATAAATAAATACTTTATAATTCCTTGTCGCGCAGATTCAAGCAAGGACCCGATACGCTCACTTAGGGTCCATAAAAAGGGTCACAAGTGGTTAAACTGTAAGACTTACATTAAAAGAAAACCACCCCACCAATAGGGGAAGCAAAAATATAATAGTAATAATAATGAAAAATAATAAAACTCCACCGTCGTATGAGTATAACTGTCGACTACACCGTCCATCGCTCCATGACCTTAAACTGCTTAGAGGGCTCTATGGTTGCAAGAGTTAAAACTGCTAACCAAAGTTTGTTTTTCAAAATATCTTTCTCTTTTCAAAATTTTCATTATATATCTTGTGTTTTTAAAAACTTTAATTTCTATTGTTAAAATTGTAACCTGTCCTTGCTCTGGGTTCTCTTTCTAATCTCTTCCTCTTTTAATCTCTAAAACATCTTCTAAATTGAAGGAGCTTGGACACTCATAAATGATAATTTACCAAGTTGTCGCCTCATCTCTTCATCTCTGTCTCTCTTCAGAACTGGCCAGACATGCCTTTTCCCAAATGAACCTTTTCCTAAATAGGAAAAACCTATAGAAAGCCTTAGGAAACCCTAAACAAATGAAATAAAATGCAAGGTTTAAGAATTTGAAATTGTGAAAACCCCTGAAGTTAAGTGGCATGGCCAGAAAATCCAACTCGAGTTTCAAGCTTGTGTAACTCATCGATATCTTACGTCGAAATATGATGAAAATGCCCTCAGTGGGTGAGCTCGGGAGCACAATGACTTGGAGGGATTAGTTGGTGTGCCCTCTAGCCACAAAATGTCATGATGAAAGTTAAAATGTCTGCATTATCTTTGCCGCTCACCTGCCCCTTGAAGGACTGGGAGCGCCGAAGAGCATCTACTTCTTTGCCCCTCACTTGTCCCTCGAAGCCTAGGGAGTGCCAAAGAGGGGCAACTGTAGACACCCCATTTTAAAATTTGCAAATTTCATGGTTTTTCTGAACCCATAGGACAACACTATTTTAGTAGACCCCTAAATCATAGACCACCACAATCCATGGTCCCATCCTATGATCCACACGTGGCAAATACCGAGCTTTGAGTAGTTATCCATTCTGCACCTAGCAAATCCCTAGCTTTTAGTAGTTAACCATTCCACACTTAGAAGTTAGAGAGAGAGAGCCCAGAGAAAGAAAAACCTAACCTAAGAAACCCTAGTTCTAAGTTATCTTTAAATCAGAAAGGCCATTTAACCAGGCTAAGGCCTGGTCAACACTTGGAGAAAGAGTGACAAAGAGGACACCGGTTCTGATACGGACGAGCCCTTGAAAGCTCGGGACTCCCGGGCCATCTGGTCCAGTTTGGTATTGTTTCTTAATCTTTTATTATTTATTTTCTTCTTTTATTTCATTTTAATTAGATTAGATTAGTTTTATTGATTTTCATTTCGTGTTTCATATTCGAATCAATGTTGGCCTTGCCACTGATCTGAGAACATATCAGCTCATTTCTTGGCGAATTTGGCCTTAGATCAGAATTTGATGTTTCCCCACATTCTCTATCATCTTCTTTTAAAATCAGTTTGGGGTGTTCAGATTTGACAGATCTTCCTTTGAAGATCTCTCTAAGTTTGCACTGTAAACAATATATATATATCCACTACCTCGTATGATCATATGAGCTCAACGACACATTAAATCTAGGCTGATTTGACGGTCACAACCTCATTTCATATTCCAGATTAACGAGAAGGGATCATCTTCCAAATAAGGAGTCAACACCCCAAAGTCTCCCATTGCGCTTCCAAACAAGGAGTCAAAACCTTAACTATCAAAAGAAGTCGAACATTTGGCAATTCTAAGGGGCCCACTGGGGCCACCTCCACCAGACTTCTTGGTCAACCCACTTATATGGGATGCCAAGCTTAGAAGATTTAACTGAGTCACCTCTCGAGGTGAACCCAGTTATAGATTATGGAGAAGTAAAGAGCCCAAATTTGACTATTCCCAAAGATTTGACATCTTTACTAGAGTTGATAGAGCTCGAATTTTTGAAAATTTTTAGGGGCCCACTTGGGCCACCTTCATAAGATTTCTTGCATGATCCACCAATCTTGGATCAAGAATTGGATATTGAAAATCTGACCATGTTACCTCTTCAAGAGGCAAGCTCTCTAAAAGTCATTATTGACATGAGCACAACTCCGACAACCGGAGCACCACTATGTCAAGAGAATTCATCCTGTGAAAAACAAGTTCTCAATGGAACAGGAAGCCCTGCAGGGGCAACCCCATCAAAA